AATTTTTTTTTTTTTTTTTTTTTTTTTTTTTTTGTCTTCAATTTCTCAACCTTTTTGGTTTGGTCTGTTTTGATTTGCTTTTCTTTTCTTTTTTTCCTCTCTGTTTTAATGAACTTTTTAAAATTAAAATAAGTGGTTTTGATTTTTTTTTTTTGTTTGGCTGTTTGGTTTGTTTTTGATGTTGATGTTATTAAATTTCTGCAGCATTAAGGAAAAGAACAGTATGGTGAAATAAAAAAAAAAAAGAAAATGATGAGAACTGTGAAATTTGAATAGTTGAAAAAAAAAAAGTAGTAAAAAAGTTTGCGTCAAGAACGTATTTAGTTTTATTTTTTATTTATTTATTTTTTGTATTTTTTATTTTTGGTTCTCTGTTTTTGAGTGTTTTGTGTGTTAAAAGATGAATAGGAAAACCAACGTTATATATGCGATTTTTATGGGATTTAAATTGGAGAAGAAAATGTCGAGTGTATTTTGGGACTAGAAATGTGTGGCAGATGTGTGTTTGTGTTGGTTTTATGGCTGCTAACCTTCTGCTCTATACCCTTCATACATAACATCCATACATACGTTCATTCATTCATTCGTTCATTTAGTTGTTCATTCATTCAATTCAATTCGGTTATCATCTTATGTTCTTTTTTTTATGTTGTCGTTGTTGTTGGTGTTGGCACTGGTGGTGATTGTGATGACGATGGTGGCGGCAATGATGGCTATACTTTATGGCTGAGGAACAGTATAATGCTATTTTGTCGAGATCGTAGATCTTTTCTTTAAAAATTTAGGCGTTTTTTTTCGCTTTTTTTCCAAAAAGTTCAAAATTAGGTGCAGAGGAGAAAAAAAATTAGAATCTTTAGCTTTATTGGAGCAATGAAGAAGGCAAATGAAAATATATTTTACAACAAAACGGAAAGAGCGTAGTTCTTCAACAGATTGATACAGTTTATGCTACTGTATTGGCAGTTGTTTGCTGTGTTGCTGCTTGGTCTGATGTGCAACTTGGATGGGATGAACAGTTTTGGTGAACAGGAAACGGATATGTTGTTATACTTGTTGTTGTTGCTGTTGTTCCTTGTTTTTCATTAAATTTAACTCATTGTAATACTTCGAATACGGTTGGCAAAAGAAAAAAGAGAAAGAAAGAGATAATAGGAAGCATGGAAAAGTTTCCACATATATAAACGAACTTTTTTAGGTGTTGATCAGTTGTGTTCAATTCTTATTGATCAGCAGGCTGATAGGTTTTTCAGTATATAATTAATTAATAAGTATTACTTTTTGTTTTCATTGGTTTTTGGTTTTCTTTTTTTAAAGTTTCTTCTTCGCCTCAACTATCGAGAATACGGGTATGCCAGAAGAACAAGAGGAGGAGGGGAAGACAGTGAGGGAGGAATGGGGTTTTTTGTTATCGTTTTTTGGTTTTTTAATTGAATCAGTAAACCAAATGTTTGTTAAACGTTAAGTCGATTTTGGTTTTTTTTTCACTTTTTTTTTGTTCACATTTCTTCTTTTCGCTCTCTCCTCTTCCATTCCTCTCTTTTAACCAATCTAATTGGGTGAGAATAGACAGAAACTTAAAACTGTACTCGGTCTAACCATTATTTTTATATACTCTGTCAGCAACAATTTTGTTTCATTTTTTGTTTACTGTTATTCTTATTTATTATATTACTGGAATGGTAGGATACACCTGAATATATTTCCAGATATCTGTTTCAGAATATGTGGTAAAAGAAGCAGTTTTGCTCAGTAGTTTAAAGCTTATCCTTATTATTTTTTCTTTTTTTTTTTCGCTTGATTTAATTTGACTTGCTTGATTATTGTCGGCTTATTTCTAATAGTACAGAGGAGAGCTTTAATACGATTAATACAGGTGTCAAAGATTGACTGGGTTCTAGGAGGAGGAATAGGAGGTAAAAGAAGATATTTGCTCAGATTTGCGGCAGTTCACCTGTTTTGTTTTGCTCGCACAGTTCCGTTTTATTGTTAACGTAACAAAAATTGGTTTCACCTGATTGATATTACCAAATGTTTCTTCATTTTTTTTACTCTTTTTTTTTAAATTTATTCTTTTTTTTGCGTTGGAAGATCAAATTTCGATTCGTTGCTAATTTGGGCTTTTCTTCTTTTTGGAAACCAATACTGGTTTACTGAATAGGAAATGCGCAGCAAAATAGAAGAAAGCATTTTGCTTGGGTTTTCGGCTTCACATTTAGTAACATCATTTTTATGCTTTCGCTTGTTATCTTCTAATTTATTTCTTATTGTTTTGTTTACTTTAAGATTTCTTTAAAAATTTTCTTGTTTTATTTTTGTCTTTCAAATTGAAAGAGATATACTTTTCTGTTCTTCTTTTATTTTTTTTTTTTTGTTATTTGCTAAACTTTGCTAAACTATATTTTTGGATAATTTTTTTAATTTATACTGTATTACAATCTACACTTTACTTTTCTTGCTAACGTATGGCTTTACGTGGAATAAGTGATACAACGAATATATATATATATATATATATATATATATATATATATGTCTTATTTATTTATACATATATTTAATTCATTTATTTGTTTTTTAGGATAACTGTTGGCTACAGTAACAGTATAATGTTTCCTAAAATTTTCTTGATACTCTTTAAAGAAAAATTTTTTTTAGCAGGGAAACAGTAAACGAATATGGTCGTTTGGTGATGTATTTTTTTATTGCTACAAATCTGATGTGCTTTGGGTGTGACTGTATGCAACTAATATTATGGTTTGTGGGTGTACATTCAGGCTGGGAGGTCGTCATAAAGCAATTAGGAAATTGTTGATTGTTGCTTCGTTTTTCTTGGATTCTTTTTTGTTGTTGTTTTTGTTATTGTTGTATTGCTTGAGACAGTTATGTTTCTTATAATTAGCATAACACCAGTGTAACTTATGCAAGTTATCTGAAGAGAAGGAAGAGGAAGCAGAAACAGATGATGGAGGAGTAGGTGAGAGAATGGAAACAATGGAAAAAAGTGTAGATTTTTATGCGTAGTTTAGCACATATATTCATGTGTTTTGCAAGCATAAATTTAGATGGATAAATGGATAGATATGTATGTGTGATGCCGCACTAAATTTGCAACGACAACAGCAAGTTCAAGGTATATAAAGTTTAAGAAGAAAAATAAAGTTTATTTTGTGATAATTTTTTTTAAAATAAATTTTCCTTGACTTTCAGTCTCTTATTTTTAATTTTGCTTTTATTTATTTATTTATTTTCTGGTGACATTACTTGCATTCATAAATTTTGTTGTTGCAAGAAATGGAGTTTTTTTTAGTTTCGTTTTTGCCATCAGTTTTTAAGTTTAATAGATGTAAGGGAAAAAAACAGGAAAAAATTGAGTGCAAATTAAAGCAGGCTAATGAATGGGAGGGAAAAAAGGAATTTTGCTTTCTAGTGTCAGTTCTCTGTGGAACATTTACATAACTGTTGTTGGAAGGAACATTTGATTGCACAATTTGTTTCTCATTATGTTGTTCTTATATTTGGTTGTCTTAACTTCAGCTTTTGTTTGATTGTTATATGATTAATGATGATTACTTCTAGTTGAATGAATATAACGAGATTTGTGAAGACATTGGAGGACATAATGTTATAGTGGGATCTCATTGAAGTGGTCATAGGAAACTAGGTTGAGGGCCACCGGGAATTGTTTTAAATTTCAGTTTTTGCTTTTTGCATAAATCTGGCAAAGTATCCGACGATTGGGTAGTGGTTGGTGCCGTGGTGTGGTCTGAGTATTGCCTGATGTGTGCAATTATGTATCATATTTCATATACAACCTTCTATAAAGATGGTTTATATTTGTGTTTCTATGTGCCTATGAAATGGTCTGTCTGTATGGTGCAATACTGGAAACTTAATGGACAGTAAATAATAAAAAAAAGTAGGGAAAAAATTTCTTTTTTAACTTTAAGATCATTTTTCTATTCGTCTTCTAATCATTAGTTTTACCATTTAAACACTGTAATTTTGGGTTGGCTTTCAGTTCAGTTTTTTTTCTTGCTTCTATTATGCGGCAATAATGTTGAGCAATGGACTAACAAACTATATGTATACAATATGTTTTTTTTTGTGGCTTAAGCTAAAGCCGTTAGTGAACAGATAGACAGTATAACAACAGTCTGTTGTTGATTGTGGTTATGTTGAAGTGAAAGTTTAGATGAAGATGATGATAAATGATTGCAGGAAATGCGATGAATACACATCAATGCAGTTCTTTCTGTTTTTTTTTCTTCCTCCATCCTTCTTATGGGGCTCATTTTCTTTGGTGGTTTACAGTTGGTTCGATTGTTATTGTTGTTAAAATGGACGTGTTCTTTTGGCTAAAGATAGGTACAACTAAGATGTATAGGGGATCTTTTACAAACTTTGTTAGATGAAGTTGTGAAATTTTTTTCTTTTTTCTTTTCAGAAACATCAGGTTTTGCTTGCTGAAATGATGATCGATGAGGACAACAATTAATTTGTTCCTCAACTATAGGGCCCATGGGGTCAGAGGGGTCAAAGCAATACCATCACCATCAGCAACAGCAGCAGTAGCAGCAGCATTATCCTCGTCAGTCCCATCCTCACTGGTTCTCGGCAACATCATCATCGTCGTCATCATCAACCTCATCATTCTTGTCATCGTCATCAACTGGTATCGTGGGGGAGGGTGGGGAGGGGTGGTTAAAAAAAAGTCTAAAAAATTATTTCTTCTTATTTCAATTATCTCTTCTGGCTGATTATCTGTTTTGTATATTCGCTGAGTAGCACTGAGTGTATTAAAAGTATTAAAGAAGGAAAAAATTGTTTTTTTTTTTTTTATTTTTAATTTTATAATAATTATTTATGTTCATTTTGTAAAATTTGGTTCACCAAAAACAAAAACGAAACTACCACATAATACTGAATTAAGAAAAAAGAGCAGAAAATTGTAACATTTTTAAATGGCATTCTATTTTTTGGTAGTAAAAAGCTATGAAATTCTTTTCTTCTGTTTAAACAGCATTATATTGATGGCAATACAGAAGAGTGATGCTGATAACAGATTTAATGGATTTATTGATAGTAAAATTGATCAGAAAAAGAAGAATTAAGTGGTTAAGAAAAGAAAGAGGAAAAAATAATGAACTGCTGCTGTTTTATCGTTTGAAAAAAAAATTAGCGGTACATAATGGGTGATAGTTTAACATAAAAGATGCTCTTTTTTTTTTTAATATTGGTTTAATGAAGATAATAGTTTTTATTTTTTGTGTGTATATGTTTTTTTCTTTTCTTAGAAGTCTTCTCCTTTTTCTTTGTCTTTTTGAATTATATTAAAAAAATGAAAATTGAAAGAAAAACCAACCGGGGAAAAAAAGTTACAGTAACAGTGGAAATGATTGTTGTTATTTTGGGGCAAAAAAAGAAAGGCAGAATAAAAAGATTGGGT